GCACTCTGAAGATAGAGAACATGAAGCTACTTAAATGAAAGCCACCGCCATAATGGATGTTTTCTCCCCTGATGCACACAAGCTGATTCTAATCAGGCCCCAGCTCAGATTCCTTTCAGGCATCGTTCTATTTTACAGGAAAGGTTGTTGATAATGCACGAATGTGATTGAATACAGAGGAAGAATTTATAACTGTCGGGAATCACTGGATCATTTCAATGTATTCCTTCCTACATTCAACTTACTGTTAAAGGGGCCAAATTTGAAGTACTCACATCTTCCAGTTAGGTAGACGTAGCAGTACCACAGTGTAGAAATAGGCTACCATTTTCTAATGCACATATGGGATTTTTTAGTACTTTTAAGTATCAGAGTGCATAGTAAGCATCAAAATAGTGCCTGATTATTAGAAAAAGTGCCAAGGGAGGATCCCCCAGACAGCCCAGCCGTTAGGAAATTAAAACAATGGGAAAACATTTTAAAAAGCGGGCCCCTCATCCTCACTCAACTGCCACTTGTGAGTTCTGCGCATCACGTACCTGACCCGTGTCTGATGGACTGCACCATTTCACACTACCTGCACCAGAAGGGGAGTATCAGATGCATGTTAAAATGTGCTCTAATTCTAACATATAACTTGTGTTATCAGTGATTTAAGTCAGTAAGGAAATTGTTGACTGCATTTAAGGGTCAATCATAGACCTTTGCTTCCTGTTATTTTCCAAACAACTCACTTGGTATTGTACGTTTCTGCAAACCACACATATGTTCCTTGAGCACCACCCTTACTGCACATTGCAGTGAGGGGTAATTGGTTACATTTGCATGTTATATTGGCATTGTATGTTTCTACAAACAATGGATATGTTACATGTGTACGTAATGTTTACGTATGTTTCTCCAAACCGAGGATACCTTACATTTGCACATTATGTTGTACATTTCTGCAAACTAAGAGTACATTACATTGTCATGTTATGTTGGCATTGTACATTTCTGCAAACTGAGGATATGTTACGCTGGCACCTTAAATTGGCATTGTACGTTTCTGCAAACTATGGGTACATTACATTTGCACATTATGTTGGCATTGTATGTTTCTGCAAACCACAGATGCATTACTTGAGCACTGCCCTGTACTGCACATTGCAGTGAGGGGTAATTGGTTACACTTGCAAGTTATGTTGGCATTTTACGTTTCTACAAACCACGGATGTGTAACGTGTATGCTATGTTGGCTTTGTACGTTTCTGCAAACCATGCATATCTTACATGTGCACATTATGTTGGCATTGTACATGTCTGCAAACCACAGATAGTTGGTGAAGATTCTCAGTCATCCAGGTCATGGTAATCGTAAGTGCTAATATCGTAGGCAACTGGACTTGCTTGCGCTTCTTGAAGATGTTTTGCAGGGTTTATAGCCTGCAACTTTGTACCAGTCATTTAGAACTGAAGAAGCTTCTTGGATGAGAGGCGAAAGGTCTTCAAGAAACGCAAGCAAGTCCAGTTGCCTACGATATAGCACTTAGGAAAACCACAAATATGTTACATTGGCATGTTAAATTGGCATTGTACGTTTCAACAAACCATGGATACATTACATTTGCAAGGTATTATGTTGTGGATATGTTGAAACTTTAGGCACAAAAACATTTGGTTGTGGTGAGGGGCACAGTCCCAGCAGAAAAAGCAGCCATTTCTGAAAAAACAAGCATTTTTCATGGCATGCCGACAAAACATCTACATTTGGAACCCGAAAAGCCGCTGGAAACACAGCAACGACTCGTTACAAGACAACTGGGTTTGTTCCAGGAAAAAGAGGTCAAAAGGCATTACCAAAAAAGGCATCAATGATGCAGGTGCAGGCACTTAAGATGGTTTGAAAAATACATCACCAACATGTATTGGCTTGGGCCTTGGTGTATGTTTAATGTTTCTAGTGCTTTTGAGTGCCTGGACCTGATTATTTATGCATTTTTTGGGAATATGTTTTCCTCTATGTGCGCCATCTGAGGGACACCAGTAGCGCTCCTGCTACCTTTTTCTTTCACAACTGGTTTTGTTTGTTGGCCTTAAAAAGTGGTCTGCGCCTGGCATAGGTGACAAACCATCCACTATCCCCTCCACCTCCAGATGACAGTCAGCTCATATACTACACCACTTTATAAAATGTGGATATGATTCTTTTAAAAAATTTTAACATATTCATGGTTCACAAAAAACATACAATGCCAACATTTTCTTCTGGTGACAGGGTTGTTGCAGTCCCTGGGGCAAAGCAAGTTGAGTATCCCTGCCCTACATTATCAAATTCTGTGAATATGTTACAACATGTACTACCTGTTGTCTTAAACCAGGAGACCAACACATCTCCCTCGTACCGCATGGACTACTCTCTTCTATCAAATCCATTTACCTCCCAAACTTCTGGCCAGTCACTGAAGCGCAAAGTAACAAAACATCTTTCCACACATACAGGCAGAGACACACAGCCACCATACCTCAGAGTACACACACACTTGCAGACAATAACTTCACTATTCACCTTGTGGGGATGAGCAAACAAACAAGGATTCTGATTAAAGATATGGAGCATAAAAATGAGAAGGCAAAAGAAAAGTAAAGTAGCTAAGCAGTGAAACAGAGATTGGTTTGTTGAAATGTAGCAAGAAAAGAGATTAGATTTCTATATTTGAGCTCTGCTAATGTTGTCCTCTGTGTGTATGGCTGCAGATTTGTGCAAAACAGGAGAGAAAATACCTGCAAGCATGCACGATGGCTTGGACAGATAAAGTTTATCAGTTGAGGTAAGATCAGTGCAGGACCACCGGGAAAGGCTGCTGCGACATGTCGAGACAGAGAGCCCACATTCAGACACGGAAACGGAACAAGTTCGAGGAACAGGACACACAATGATGCAGGGCTGTCCTCTGCATGCTGCAGGGAAAATACTGATACACTTCAGCTAAAATACTTAAAGGTCTCTTTGCTGCCTTGGAAATTTAATTTCACTGCAAAAGCACATTTAATGTATCAATGCTGAAAAATTATTTGGATTCAACTGATTTTGCTTTCCTACAAAAAAATAGTGCCAATTTTGCAGCTAAACATTGTCAATAGATAAAATATAATAGTAATTAAATCTGTGGCATGTTGATAAAAGTGTTAAAATCCAAAAAGATTGATGCATTAAAATGCAAGCAGTACATTCATGTTGTAATTGGTCAAGGCGAAACAATTTCATAACTGCTTTGAATAATTTTTTTGTAGTTAATCTACAGAAAAAGATCATATTTTAAGTATTGATCATGTTTTTTATGTGAACTTTTAATTTCAAAAGTAACACGAGTGTTGGAAAAAATGTAGTGGAGTTATGTTATTTACCTGAAAATACCTAAATAGCCTAAAATTGTTCTTAAGTACAGTACTTGTGCCACAGCATTTGGGCCCCACAACTTTTGGAAAAACAATGTTTTGTAGGGTTGGGTCAGGGTTTGCATTATATAAGAGCAGTGTAATGTTTAAGGGAAAACATACTGGCCAGTCTCAGGCACTTAAATACTAATCTTTATGGGGGGACTGGTTTGTATTGGTCTACAGATCTATCAGGTATTTTGAGATAAGCTAGCACATACATATTAACACAACATTTTTTTGATTATATATCAAATAAATTTTTACATTTTTTTTCCATACCAACTGTCTTCATAATTCTGCCTGACAGGGTAAAACTTCAAGAGTGTGACATACAGATCAATATGTGAAACATTAGGGAAAATGAGTGATAGTGTATGCTCACCCTATTTTGCTTGTTTGAGTTCCCTCCAAAAAACACATGGCTGTGTCTCTTCCTGAAAATGGTCTCAATGGAATTGTAGTTTTTTGTGTGCGAGTCAAGAAACTACAAACTAGCAGAGAGGAAATGACTTCAGGGATACACAGGAAATTATGAAAATAGTAAAATAATCACAATGATAATAGTAATAATGAATGGGTATAGTTCTTGTAGTTATATAGCTGTATAGCCTATGAAGCTATTAAGGAATATTTTGGCTTGTAGTTCTTGTAGGGTGTTAATTACTTTGCTCTAGGGATGTGGTAATTTCGAGCACATGTACCAAAAAATGCCAGTAGAGTAAAACAAAAAGTATTTTTAATGTGCATTATAATTTGAACCATCTGCAATAAATATTTGACATGTTTTAAGAAAATATGAGGAAGTAATCCATGGGGACAGAAATGATGCTGCATAACAGGAATGACCGACGACCATCAGACATATTGCCCTGTAGGGTTGCAACTAATGATTATTTTCATTCTTGTCTAATTGGCTGATTGTTTTCACCATTAATCAACTCATCGATTAGTCTAAAAATGTAAAATTTAAAAAAAAAATGTGAAAAATGCTCATCACAATTTGCCAGAACCAAAAGTGACAAGCTTCTTTTGTCCAACCAGAAAGCCCCAAACCCAAAGACTCCTTATTCACTATCATAAATGACAAAGATCAGCAGCCAGTTCTTGAATTTAAGAGGCTGGAAACAGTAAATGTTTGATATTTTTGCTTGAAACGTTTGATCGATTATTTAAATAGTTGGCATTTAAAATCGTTGCAGCTCTATTGTGCTGTATTGAGAAGTATTTCTATTATTTTGTCCACCCACTGCACCTTTTTCATACAGTCACCTACAGGAGTACAAAGTGTACTTAAAAGCTAACAGCCTGAGCCTTATGATAATATAATGAATCCCAAAATTGCAGTAATTGTTACATCAAGAGGAAAAAAGGCTTATTGGTATCATTATAAGATTAACTGCAAATCCCTATTATGTTCAAAGTGTGTGCTGTTAATGGGAAGTTATTTCAGGGTGTATATAACTGCAGGGCTCGGCTATGATAAAATCAGTTACTGACTCATTACAGCAACATTAACACGTTAGTCAGGTTATTCAATGCTTCAGCAAAACTGGTTCGTATTGAAAGGAGCACACAGAAGCTAATGTTGCATCTTTAATTTATTCACTTAAATACATATTTACAAGTGGTTTAAAGTTAGCAACTGTGTTACCCAAAGGTCAATGTAAATTTGCATTACAGCTCATGTGTGTGTGTGCCATCAGTGGGCCTGCAGCTCATCGAGCTGTTCGAGGAGCGCGTCCTTTTCCCATTCTAATATGGAGATCTGATGATTCTTGTTACACACCTCCTGTCAGAGGAGAAGAATACAGACATATCATCAATCAAGAGTTATGGAAAAATCATCCTCTGTTACTAAAGGCAAATTAAAGGGGGAAAACACTCACTTTAAAATAATTATGTCACAATAGATGAGCATAAAACATGACCTTAAAGATGTGTTTGAAGCCTTTCAAGGCCTACGTACAATTTACCTCCTCCTTCCTCTACCTCACCTTCAGTTTCTCTTCTCCTTACCTGAGTCAGTACTGTGTTGTGCCACCGGAGGTCGCTGTCTGCCACCGCGTCAGGCAGAGAGGGGTTGCTGCGGCTGGTGACATTGGGTTCACTCATCACGGAACCCAGGGAGCCGTTCACCCGCTGAATGCGAGACCTGAGGAGGCAAGACTGAGCCTGCACACATACAGACAGGTGGGCGCTTAGAGACTCCATAAGTGACAGTACACTGAATTATGATTGGTTAAATCAGTGAGGCCCCATACCCACTCCTGCCTCGTACCTCTGCTGCACCTTCCTGGCAACTGAGCCCCGTCTTGATTTCGATGTTTTCCTGCCTCGCTCTGTTCTCCTCCAGCCGCTGGAGGTACCAGAGACGGGCCTTCTCCAGGACCTCCAGACCGGAGCACAGAGCGTCCTTCTCTTTCTCTAGCTCCCTCAGACGCCTAACCTGAGGTGGGAGAACACAGCTTGATCAGGTTTATGTGAATTTTAAATCGTAACCTAAACTGAACAATTGGAGCTTCCCAAAATGCTGACCATATTATCACACCCTGGGTCAAGTTAAGCAGCCGACCTTTGCATGTCACCCCCCTTTAGTTTCACTGTCTACCTTTCCAATAAAGCAGAAAAGTTCCCACAAATACTTACAGGGACTGTTTGCCTTTTCTCCAATATTATGGATGGCACTCAGCTTGTGGCTCAAAGTATCAAAAAATACATTTGAGAAACTCAACAGCAATGTCTCTTTCCTGAAATCATGACCCGGTTACTCAATATAATCCACAGACCTTGTTGTGAACAGTTTCATATAGGAACTACTTTCTGTCTACTGAACTACATCCACCAGTTGTATCATTGCGCAGAAGGAAGTGTGCATCTACTGCTAGCTTACCTACCATCACTGGGCTAGCTAAAGTTACAACTCAGCCAAGGAAGATACTTTTGACGTTAACATCTTGTGCTGTCATGATCATGAGTCTCTTGTACATGAGCGGATGCACAACACAGTCTCACTCCCATCTTGACCAACACTTGGTCAGTGGCCCTTCTTGTCCAACTGTAACACTGTATGTACCCCTCAAGCATCAGTTTATGATCCTTAGGGATGGTGTGACAATTTATGTTGGTTAAATGCATTGTGTCTTTTCAAAATAAACTTCTGTTTTGACAGGAAATGCACAGTTAAATGTGTATATTCTTTTTTAAAATAAACTTAGAAAGTAGGTACAAAACCCCTTCCGATTTTAGGTTTACTTTCTTTGGTGTGGGCAACAAAACACGTGTTCAGGTTTAGAAAAACATACTTCCCATGTGTCACTGTTTATGTTTCTGATGCTCATCAACCTTGTAGGAAACTTATTCTGTCATGTGGCAGATGACATAAGACACTTATGAAAGTATTGCAGTCATCAGTGTCATGTCACTAGCATACTTTGCTACACATGCTAGAACACTATGTTGTTACTAAAATAACTCAGCTGACTTTTGGTTTCCCACAGTAAATGAACAGCGGTCTCCCGGGTGAAAGTCCCGAGCTTGTTTGACCCATCCACCTCCCCTGCTGCCTGCCCTTTGCAGACTTTCACTCTTTATACTATGGCAGTTGCTCTAAGTGTTCCTCAGCCGTCAGTACATATCTGATGCCAAGGGCCACTGACGAAGTGTTGGTATTTGACGAGTTGGGTGTTCTACCAAGTTAAAAAGCATGCTTCCTTCTGTGGAGTGATACCATTGGAGGGTGTAGTTCAGTAGAAAGAAAATAGTTCCTACGTGAAACTTCTCACAACAAGCTCTGTTGATTATCTTGAGTAACCAGGTCATGATTTCTGGAAAGAGACATTACTGTTGAGTTTTTCAAATGTGTGTTTTTGGCACTTTGAGGACCACAAGCTGAGTGCCATCTATATTAGAGAGAAGGCAGACATCTCTATGGCCGATATCTCCAACACCTGTCAACTCACACCAAAACAATCTAGAGTGATAAACAACACTACAGGTAAGAGGGAAAATATGTATTTTTGATTTTGGGGTGAACTGTCCCTTTAAAATCCATCCTAAATGTTAAGTTTGATGACAGAACCAGTTTGGTTAGTTGAGGGTGTGTATTTTGACAGCACCATGGGGCTGACTAACAAGCCTGACCACCAAAAACCGGGCCTGCAGCCTGATGTAAAGCAGCGTGATGGGCACAGCGCTGCCTGTTGTCTTCCAGAGGCCCCAAGGCTTTGTTTCTATCAGCAGAGCCAATCTACAGAGCAGCAGGAGGCCTTTAGTTCCATTGTCCACTCGCTGTTGGATAACATGCACTTTAAATGGCCTCACACAGAGCTAACAAGCAGGGAATCATAATATATGATGGTGGGCGATCCACCTCTAGTTAGAGCAGGACGTCGCAGTCACTTTGTCAATTGAAATGTAATCAGTGGAGGAAATTAGAAACTCTTGACACTGTTGTATCATGAGTGAATATTTAATTTTAGCTGTGTTTGATTAATCAAATTTCAAAATACCCCCCCAAAAAAATCAGCTTTAGGTAGGGCCTTACAGCTGTATATCTACCATAATAATAACAATAACAATATGAAATGTCAGTTACTGTTTGACAGCTCCTCTCATTATAATAGATTTACAGTTACTGGGAAACTGGTTATATTGAGCCTTTAACAGGAAGTTGCGAGGTGCAGACTTGACTCGTGGGAATGTGTCACCGGGATGACTGCAGCCATGCTACCTCCAAAACACTTAGACACGTAGCAAGGGTGAAAAAAAACTGCCTGGAAACAGAGTCAATTTAAGCATTTAAGTTAAATGTCCAGTATGAAAAGAAAGCATGTTTATATCGTGTTTACACAAATAATTTAGCTGTCTCAAAAATACACAGTAAGTGCTGCAGTTTGGTCAGACAAGATCAGTTCAGTCGTCAATATAATTTTGTTTTTCAATTCACAATTAAAAATGTACACATATATTATGGCAGTATCAAATGAATGACATTGTAATCTTGTTTAATTTAGCAAACCTTGTTGATTTTCATAATATTTTTTTCCCATGTCTCTCCCTAATATATTTGTCATTGCTCTTTGTCCACTCTTTATCTTTCACAAAATGTAAATTATTAAATTTTGACAAAATATTTGTAGTCAGCAGAGAAAATATAATTATTGTCCTGATGTTTGTTTTGTAACATAAACTGTTGTCCCTATAAAAAAAGTACACATACTGAGTGTTTTAAAGGCCGAATCCAGTCTTTTTAAAGCAAATATATTTAAATTTGATAACATTTAAGTAAAGTCAAAGTAAATATAAGTTGACAGTATGACTAGATTAATAAAGTATAAAAAAAAATCAAAATAATGAATCAAAATTTAAGAAAATTAAAGTGATAAATAATTTTTCATTTTTTCTGAAGGGGATTGGTGCCGGAACTTGAAATTATTATTTCAATTTTTCCATTACTCATGGCATCATACTGCAACTATGCATTTCTGTTGACACTCCTTCCATATATTAAAATAATATGATACATTTTATATATAGAGCTTTCAAATGCTTAAAGATAGAGAAGAGTGTTGGGGCCAGGTTCAAGGACAACAAATTAGAGAATCAAGATTTTTTTTTTTTTATTTTAAATATTGCATCATAAGAAATAAGTCAAAATTTTGAGAATATGCGAAAAACAAACAAACAAACAAACAAAAAACCTCCTCTGATTTATCTCTTCTTATGCCTGGCACTAATACTGAAAGTTAAACTTAATTCATGACATTTCGACCTTATTCTCGATATTTTGACTTTATTGTTTTAGGACTTTATTTGTTTTAAGTCTAGATATTTTTTTACCTATTCTGTTTTCAATATTTCAACTTAATTCTTGATATTTCAACTTCATTCTGGGCATTTCAATTTCATTATCATAATGCAAAATAAATAATTTTCCCCTTCTTTTTTGCCCCCTGATGCCTGGTCCTGATTGTCTCCTCTACGTAGACACGTGTACTTGCCAGTGCTCTTAGTTTGAACATTAACATAATGTACAGATATCGTGCAGCTGGTTGAGAATTTGAGAATTGCTTTAAATGCCATCATTAAAGAGACTCCATTTTAGAAATACATATTTAAATACACTCAGTGGCCACTTTATTAGGTACACCTGCACAGTCTAATGCAATCCAATCCATAATCTATTTTTATGATGTCTCTAATGTTCAGTTTTTTGACAGTTATAGAGGTTTATAATTCAGTTATATGTGTATAATTGAGATCATAGTTAGTGGTGATGGTTGTGTACTGAACTGCACTATAACCACAGGTGTTTCTATTTTTTTGCCCCCTCATGTATGTAAATGAGAAGGACAAAAAATTACAAACACCTCTCAATATGATGTAGTCTAGTACCACAACATTATATGTATTGCATGTACTGTATGTACTGTGCAGCATATATGTCTAAACTGAGCCAAAACATAAAGAAACCCTCAACCTGAAATATTACATTTTTGAAAAATGGTGCACCCTCCTCTATAAAATTCCCAAAAATAGACACGTAAATCATTTGTTCCACATTCCAGAAGAGAAGAAAAGGTCATGTGAATGTGCCTCAGCCAAATGTACCAATCTGGTGACACTTACACACACTCGAGAAGCGGTGAACGCTTTTAACTTTGAGTAATACATCATGTCCTTTCAACTGAAAATTTAAAGCCAGCTTTTAAACATACATAACAACAAGTCTGTGGAGTATAACTACAGTCATTTTGCCTGTTGTCCAGAAAATATTGTGCTTCAAACATGTGAGTATACGCACAGCAGCTGATAGGAATCACACTTACATTCACACACGGCAAAGACACAGTGAGATGTAACTGATTAGACTCAGTTCCTTTTTCAAAACACATATGCACACACACACACACACACACACACACACACCAACCCCCTCCTCACCCATAGGAAGAAGCGAAGTGCATCCAGGCTGTAGAGGCTGGTCCTGAGTGGGATGATAACCACAGTGTAGGAGCCACAGCCGGGGGGACGACAGGCCATGAAGAGGAGATCAGTCACTGACGGCTGCTACTACTACGACTGCCCCATACAGCTGGCTGCATGACAAACAACAAACCACAGACCTCGCCACGGGCTGACTCAGAATAATGCCACAGAGAGAATGAGTGTGTGTGTGTGTGTGAGAGTGTGTGTGTGTGTGTGTGAGAGAGAGAGAGGGAAGGCAGGGTTGGAAAAAAAAAGCAGTAGTATACACAGGCAGAGGCAGCATGGTGCCCCTGGGGCGAGGTAATGAAAAATTCCACATGTCACTGCCATGACTGGTTCATCGACATATAGTGACACAGAGTGAGAGAGATGGGGTGGAAAAAAAGGTGAAACTGGCAGCACAGGATCAAATGCAAGAGAAAAGACAACAGAGAGAGGCAGGAAGTGTGAAATGGGAGCTGTGGATGTGAGATTTGAGAGCAGGATACAGGTGTGATCAGACATTTCCCAGCTTGTGTGTCCAAAACTACTGCTGTTCACTCAAAATCTCAGTTTGCCAAGACAGATAGGAGACAAACCAGAGGCTCTGAAGGTGCTCCTCAGCTCAGGGGATTGGCAGAATGTTAAGGAATCATGTCATCCTGCAGCTGAGGTGGAAACATGACATTCCTCTGCTGAATGAAAAGAGAGCGCGCGTGATTGCTCCCTTCCAAGTTTCAGGTGAGCACTCTGTCCTGACACGTTCTTAGGAATGTGACATAACCTGGGGACGAGACGAATGCGTGCCAGTGGACATTTTAGCAACAGAGTATAGCAGTTAAGACAAACAAACAGAGCAGTCAGGCACTGTTTTTGCTTGTGGGATAGAGGGGTGGGGCGCTCATGGATTTCAGCACCGCTGCATTGACATTAACGTCATTACTATCAGCGCTCAGCTGTTCAGCTGGTCAGTGCCAGCACAGAAAATCAGTGGCACATGTTTTTTTTATTACTGCCTCAGGCCAAATTGGCCGTTAGACCAAGTGGATGGGTTCACATCCTCAGTTACTCTGTTGGAAAGATTTTAGTGCACTGATATATGAGGGAAGAATATGAAGATTCAGCCTATTTTTTTTCTTGGGCAAAATAACTGAAATAGAAATTAAAGGGTAAGATTGATTTTTCAACCTGGATCTTATTTTCCCATGTTTTTGTGTCTAAGTGACTAATAGGAACAATAATATTTGGAATTGGTCCAATATTGAGCAAGAGGGCTGCAGCCAACAGAGGCGAAACCGAGTGCAATGTACCCACTCGGGGCATTTGTGCACCACATCTACATCCACTAAAAGTGCTTGTTTTTGCCATTGACAGCTCAGATTCTTATTTTAAGTGTTTGACAACATTGTAGAAATGATCCATACAGAGTTAGATCTTTTGTTAAAAGAATAAGATCCTTTTTGTTTAACCACAAACAGCCCCAAAATTGCCATCGCCAAGTCCACCAAACTCCATTTAAATAAATGGTCATTTTAGTGTACATAGAGCCAGCATATTTTCACATCTAACTGCGTGAGTTAAGGGTTTATTTCAACCATACCAGAGTTGGTGATTGTTGGAGCAGTGGAAAGACGAGCCAAGATGGTTTTATTTTGTTTCATTTTGTTTCTGTCAACACTGAATTGGAGTGTGTCTTATAACAATAAAAATACTGTTTATTTAAATGGAGTCTGGTGGAATTTGCAATGATGATTTTGGAGCCACTTCTGGTTAAACAAAAAGGATCTTACTCCTTAACAAAAAGGTCTATCTAGGGATCTTTTCCATAAGTTGTCAGAAACTTGGATGTACATTGACATTGCATGTTCCTCCAAATGGTAACATTACAATCTGTTTTGCAGCTGCTAGCTGCAGCCCTCTCCGTTAATACTGGACCAGTTTCAGAAATTCTTGTTCCTGTGAGTCATTTAGAAACACGAAAATATAAGAAAATAGGGTCCAGGTTGGAAAACACTGAAGGTACCCTTCAGCAGTGGCAAATATGATCACAGTTGGTCCATTAATGGAAAAGGTGCTCACATCCTTTACTTGAATTGAAGTGCAATGATGGGCGGCATGTTGGTGCAGTGGTTAGCATTGTCGCCCCACAAGAAGAGGGTTCCAGATGGTTTAGAGCTTGGTGTGAGGGAGCCCTTCTGTGTGGAGTTTGCATGTTCTCCCTGTGTCATCGTAGGTTTTCTTGGGGTACTCCAGCTTCCTCCCACAGTCCAAAGACATGCAGGTTAATTCGTGATTCTAAATTGCGCGTAGGTGTGAATGTGAGTGTGAATGGTTGTCTGTCTCTATGTGTCAGCCCTGTAATGGTCTGGTGACCTGTCCAGGGTGTACCCTGCCTCTCACCCAGTGTCAGCTGGGATAGGCTCCAGCCCTAGTCCCTAATTCAAAAACCTACCTCAGAATACATAATATACACAGTATATAAAAGAGTATTATCAGCAAGAAGTACATTAAGTATCAAAAGATTTCTTATTTTGTAGACAGTCCTGTCTTTTCAGTTTATACACTCACAACTTTATAGATTTGCCTGCAGCCTGATATCAGTCTTTCAGGAATGCATGTTTGTCTCTTTTGCAATTTTTGATTCATGACTTCTCACTATGGTCCGATGCATTCTCCTGCGCCCTCTGTAATTCTTTAAGATGAGTCTGCAAATTACTGAGTTGCTGTGGGCAATAATTTTACCCCTCAATACAGCTTTACATGCATACCACAACAGAGGTGGTGATACCTCTCTGTTGTCATTCTCTTTGAAGTAAATTTCAGTTTCAAGTTTCAGTTCTTCTCTCATCAGGGGAAGGTGTTTGTATTATTGGTGTGTGTTGTCAGTTGTGTGGATGGATGATCAGATCTGATTTAATCTAAGGTTTCACAATGTATTGTTTTTACTCAAGAGGTGGTGATATGTTAAAAACAGTTAATTTGGAATTAAAGGTACAGCATGCAGATTTTAAAAGTCTAAATTAATTTACTAGTTTGAAAGATGAGGGTGTTTAACATGCAGAAAGGTTATAACAAGGAGACAATATCAAGTTGAATTAGGGGAAATGAATGATTCGTAGTTTTTAGAATTGACTCATACTAGGGACTAAAATTAAAACTATTAAAACTGACTCTTCTAGGAGGGCGTTCCTGCTGTAAACAGTGGCTAAATTACAAGAGCACTCTTATAAGCCCTAAACTCACTGCTGAGAGCCTTTACATACAGCAGAGACAGTGTTCTGATTATTTAGAGGGCGAGGCTGAGTCTACTTCTCCTGACAACAGATATCTTAACACAGTGGTTTTCAAACTTTGTGTGTCCAAGGCGCACCAAAGGGCGAGATAAAATCTAAAGGGCACACCTGTATTTATATCTGTGCAGACTAGCAGCCTCTATAAGGTGTGTTATCACTCTTATCACGACATAAATGCTTGTTTTTATTCACTAATATAAACTAACAATTGACAACCAACTATCACTCATAGAATATTTTTTAAAAAATGACTAAAGAATTATTTTTAAACTTTTTTTAAATTACATCAAAGCACCAGTAACATATTAATTGAACTGGGAAATAATGTAAGATAATGTGAGTAGTCACAAATTTATAATTCCCATGCGTAAACAGTGACAAACAGGTTCTCCGTGACAGTTTTTTAAATTAAATTAAATTAAATTAAATTAGAGAACCACTGTCTTAACGAACCTCCCTGTTTGATGCTGTCTACCTGGGGCCTCCCATAGAGCCCACCCACTGATTTAACACACTTCTGTACAGGCAACCCCCCCCAAAACATATATGATGGCGATTTCATGAACGAGCTACTAAAACCTAGTGGACACTCACTGTGCCTCTGACTTTAAAGCTGCAGTCCTGTTTAATCACCAGCAGAGGGAGCTATCAGAGCACACCGCCTCCTGGAGCTGAGGATCATATTCAGAGCTGACATTTTGTGGCTCTTATGATTTTCCCATTGAAGCATGAAGCTGTAGCTTTATCACAACACCAGATGGCGCAACACAATAACGCTGCAGCGCACTGAGACTTCTCCAAAAGTATGCCAACTATTTTCAACCTATGTTTTCTACTGCCTGCAGTCCACTGAAAAATAACTTAATCTCAATCAAACAATATCTTTTACATAAAACACTTAAACGGTACATACGATGGGGTTACCATGTATAAAAAAAAGAAATATTTCTGTAATATTTTCTCATCGGGTCACAAGCTTGAGGCCAATCACCCACAAGGCAGTGGGATCAAAACATGGGATTAAGCAGCTCTGTATTCCAGCACCTCTGAGATGGAGCCTGCAGGAAACCCATGACCCTGTGTTACATCATGAGACTCATGATTCTCGAGGCTTAAAGCTCTACATGAGCTCATGATATCACCAACAAATGATGTGCTTTCTACCATTATTCCTTACTTATCGCTGATTGCAGCCACTTAAAATGCTTTTCTGGAGGTAAAGAGAGAACAAACAACAAAATGACTGGTGCACAGGAACTTACAGGGGCCACTTTGAAGTACAAACTAAGCAGCTTTTTTGTCGTTAACACAGATCATGAGTTTCCACTGTAGGGCCCCCGAGGGGGAAGTTCACATTGTTGTTCTAATTGTGTAAATATATTTATATATGCAGCATTTCACACATGTATTCACAGTGGCGGTTGTTATGGTGCTCTCTCTTCAGTTTGATATACACACACTGCAGTAACCTATTTTATCCCTGTACAGACTCTTTTTAGTCCCTACTACTACTTTGCGGAGAGTGGGCCCCTTGTTGTTTCCTGTCTCACTCCTTATACACACACAGGATTTCACACACACATATTTGTTCTCTTGCTGTCACTACTGGTTTCATGCAGTTTGAAAACCACTTAGAATGTCACGTTTACACACACACAAGCAACTGGAGTATTATACACATACATAAGAAGTAGGGTAAGAGTGCAGGTCTCCATTCAGTGCTGTGAGACAGAATTAAAGAGGCTCACCCAGGAAGAACTGAGACATCATTTTGGGCTATAGAAGCTGGGCACTCCCTTTCGCCTCTCCAGCCCACTGCAGCACCGGCCGCTTGAGGCTCACTGTTCCAGATCATAACTCCAAGGAATCTAATCCAGATATATAACCCCCCTTTACACACTCATTTCAATCAGGAGCGAAAGAACTGCATCT